CCGGGATCCTCAAACCCAACCCATAGCCCTGCGCTGAACATTCCAAGAATTCCCTGAATTCCGGGAGCTCTGGATATCCCAGCCTGAATTCTGGGGAATTATCCCATTGGACACAAGGGAAAAATGGGAAAACAAACACCGGGAATGTYGGGATTTTTGCGATTTTCCTCRGGAATGGCTGGAATTTTKGGGGGATRGAATTTYCRTGGGATCCATGGAATCATGGRAAGGGCCCTTAAATCCCATCCCATTCCAACCCCGACCCTTCACCCGATCCCAGAATTTCCCAACCTCTGGAATATTTCCCAGGATGGAGCTGCCCCAGCCAGGATTCCCTCCCCCATCCCCATCCGTGGAATCCCCGCATGGATTTTGGGGTGGAAACAGAGGATTTTGGGATTCCCAGACCCGGAGCAGAATTCCCGGAATTCCTGGGGTAATTCTCGTCGGGAATCTCACCTGGGTGGGCAGAATTCCGTGGGCGATGCCGGTGTTGTGGGTCCCGGTGCCRATGACTCCGGCCGCCGTCACCTCAGACACGGCTCCCTGGCTGGGAACGGGGAAATCGGGATGGGAATTCCGGGAAAAGATCATTCCCGGGGTCCCATCCCGATTTTCTGGCCGCGTTGGGATGGAGGTGACATTCACGGAGGGATTTGGGATCTGGGATTGCTCCAGGGAAATCCTGATGGGGCAGGGAAAATATCCCGGGAAAAAGATCCATCCTGAGAAATTCCAGGGGGGAAAAATGGGAATGGAATTCTGGGTGGAGTCCATGGAATACTGGAATCCTGGAATTTTCAGGGTTGGGAAAGAGCTCTTGATCAAGTTAAAACCTGGGAGGATTCAACAGAATCCTGGAATTTTCAGGGTTGGAAAATTGGAACAAATGGAATCCTGGGTGGATTCCATGGAATCCTGGAATCCTGGAATTTTCAGGGTTGGAAAAGAGCTGTGGATCAAATTAAAACCTGGGAGGATTCAATGGAATCCTGGAATTGTCTGGGTTGGAAAAGAGCTCCTGAACAAATCCTGGGAACGGGGAAATTGGGATGGAAATTCTGTGAGAGGAGCATTCCCGGGGTCCCATCCTGATTTTCCGGCCCCGTTGGGATGGAGGAGACATTCCCGGAGGGATTGGGATGGGGCATCGAGGATCACTCCAGGGAAATTCCCTGGGAATGGATCCCAATCCCACCCTGATCCATTTCGGATCCTGATCCATTCCTGATCCTGATTTTACGTGGATCCATTCCTGACCTCAATCCCAGCCCCATTCCTGATCCCAATCCCAATCCCAGCCCCATTCCCCATTCCCAATCCCAGCCCCATTCCCGATCCCAATCTCGGCTTCATTCCCGATCCCAATCCCAGCCCCATTCCCAGATCCCATTCCCAATCCCGGCCCCATCCCCATTCCCGATCCCAATCCCAGTCCCATTTCCCGATCCCAATCTCGGCCCCATTGCCCATTCCCATTCCCAATCCCGGCCCATTCCCATTCCCGATCCCATTCCCAGTCGCATTCCCCAATCCCAATCCTGACCCCATTCCCCATTCCCTAATCCCAATCCCAGCCCCATTCCCTATTCCCAATCCCGGCTCCATTCCTTATCCCAATCCCATTCCCCATTCCCTAGTCCTGATACCAATACTGGCCCCATTCCCTAATCCCAATCCCGGCCCCATTCCCCATTCCTGATCCCAATCCCAGTCCCATTCCCCATTCTCAATCCCATTCCTGATCCCAATCCCAGCCCCATTACCCATTCCCGATCCCAATCCTAGCCCCATTCCCAAATCCTGGCTCCATTCTCTATTCCCTATTCCCAATCCCAGCTCCATTCCTTATCCCAATCCCATTCCTCATTCCCTAGTCCTGATCCCAATCCCAATCCCGGCCTCATTCCCCATTCCCAATCCTGGCCCATTCCCCATTCCCGATCCCAATCGCAGCCCCATTCCCATTCCCCAATCCCAGCCCTATTCCCGATCCCAATCCCAGTCCCATTCCCCATTCCCCATTCCCAATCCCAATCCCAATCCCAGCCCCATTCCCTAGTCCAGATCCCAATGCCAGCCCCATTCCCCAATCCCAGCCCCATTCCCCATTCCCATTCCTAATCCCGATCCCGATCCCAGCCCCATTCCCGACCCCACTCACTTAGCCAGGGCCATCCCGAGTTTATCCAGCTCCGGGTTCAGCTCCGAGAGCAGAATTCCCGCTTCCACCGTCACCTGCAGCTTCTCCGTGTCCACCTAGGAAAACCGGGATCAGAAACTCATTCCCCATGGAAAAAACAGGATGGGAACTCAATTTTCAATGGAAAAACTCATTCCCCATGGGAATCTCATTCCCGATGGAAAAACCTATTCCCGACGGGAACCTCATTCCCTGTGGGAACCACATTCCCTACAGAAAACCTATTCCCAATGGGAACCTCATTTCCTATGGAAAACCCATTCCTTATGGAAAACTCATTCCCGATGGAAAAACCACTGCCTATGGAAAACCCTTTTCCTATGGAAAACCCATTCCCTGTGGGAACCCCATTCCCAATGGGAACCTCATTCCCTACGGGAATCTCATTCCCGATGGAAAAACCCATTCCTTATGGAAAACTCATTCTGATGGAAAACCCATTCCCAGTGGAAAACCAATTCCCGATGGAAACTTCATTCCATATGGGAACTTCATTTCCTATGGAAAAACCCATTTCCTATGGAAACCTCATTCTCTATGGGAACCTCATTTCTTAGGGAAACTCCATTCCCGATGGAAAACGCATTCCCGATGGAAAAGCCATTCCTGATGGAAAAGCCATTCCTGATGGAAAAGCCATTCCCGATGGAAAAACTCATTCCTGATGGAAAACCCCATTCCCGATGGAAAACTAATTCCTTATGGGAACCCCATTCCCTATGGGAACCTCAATCCCAATGGAAAAATTTATTGCCTACGGAAAACGCATTCGCAATGGAAAACCCATTCCCAATGGGATTTTCTGGATTTTCCCAGATTTTCAGGGTTTTTTCCATATTTTTCCGAAATTCCCCAGATTTTTCTGATTTTTTTTTTATTTTCCCTGTTTTCCCCCCTTCCATATTTTTCTGGATTCTTTTCTGGATTTCCCTGGATTTTTTTTCCCCACAGATTTTTCCAGATTTTCCCAAATCTTTCCTGGATCTTTTTGTATTTTTTCCGTATTTTCCCAGATTTTTTTTCCCCTGGATTTTCCGGATTTTTTCAATATTTTCCTGCATTTTTCCATATTTTCCCGTAATTTCCCAAACTTTTCCATATTTTCCCAGACCTTTCCTGGATTTTTTTGGGGTTTTTTTCCGTATTTTTCCGTATTTTCCTGGATTTTTTTTTCCCCTGGATTTTTTTCCAGATTTTCCTGGTTTTTCCCATTTTCCCCCAGATTTTCCCGGATTTTTTTCCCGCTCTCACCCGCAGGATCCGGTTCATTTTTCCCAGGTGGATCATGAAATGGTCGGAGCAGGCGATGTCCGAGGGGGAGTGGCCGCCCCCCACCACCTNCTGGGAATGGATCCCAATCCCACCCTGATCCATTTCGGATCCTGATCCATTCCTGATCCTGATTTTACGTGGATCCATTCCTGACCTCAATCCCAACCCCATTCCCCATTCCCAGATCCCAATCCAGGCCCCATTCCTGATCCCAATCCCAGCCCCATTCCCTAATCCCAATCCCAATCCCAGCCCCATTCTCCAATCCCAGCCCCATTCCCCATTCCAAATCCCAGCTCCATTCCTGGATCCCAATCCCAATCCCAGCTCCATGCCCCATTCCCTACCCCCTATTCCCTATTCCCTAATCCCTATCCCCTATTCCCCATTCCCCATTCCCCATTCCCCATTCCCTATTCCCTTTTCCCTATTCCCTATTCCCAATCCTGGCTCCATCCATTCCTTATCTCAATCCCATTCCCCATTCCCTAGTCCTGATAGCAATACTGGCCCCATTCCCAATCCCAGTCCCATTCCCCATTCTCATCCTCAATCCCGGCCCCATTCCCCATTCCCCATTCCCAATCCCAGTCCCATTCCCCATTCCCCATTCCCCATTCCCAATCCCAATCCCGGCCCCATTCCCGATCCCAATTCCAGCCCCAATCCCAGCCCCATTCCCCATCCCGGCCCCATTCCCTGTTCCCAATCCCGGCCCATTCCCATTCCCGATCCCAATCCCAGCCCCATTCCCCAATCCCAATCCCAGTCTCATTCCCCAATCCCAATCCTGACCCCATTCCCCATTCCCTAATCCCAATCCCGGCCCCATTCCCTTATCCCATTCCCTTATCCCAATCCCAATCCCAGCCCCATTCCCTAATCCCAATCCCAGCCCCATTCCTTATCCCAATCCCATTCCCCATTCCCTAGTCCTGATACCAATACCAGCCCCATTCCCGATCCCAATCCCGATCCCATTCCCTTGTCCTGATCCCAATCCTGGCCCCATTCCCGGATCCTAATCCCAATCCCAGCCCCATTCCCCATTCCCGATCCCAATCCCAGCCCCATTCCCCATCCCAATCCCAACCCCATTCCCCAATCCCAGTCCCATTCCCCAATCCCAATCCCGGCCCCATTCCCCATTCCCATTCCCAATCCTGGCCCATTCCCATTCCCATTCTCAATCCCATCCCATTCCCATTCCCAATCCCAACCCCATTCCCGACCCCACTCACTTGGCCAAGGCCATCCCGAGTTTATCCAGCTCCGGGTTCAGCTCCGAGAGCAGAATTCCCGCTTCCACCGTCACCTGCAGCTTCTCCGTGTCCACCTGGAAAAACCGGGATCGGAAACTCATTCCCCATGGAAAAACCCATTCCCGATGGGAACCCAATTCCCAATGGAAACCCCATTCCCAACAGGAACCTCATTCCTGATGGAAAACCCATACCCAATGGAAAACCAATTCCTGATGGAAACTTCATTCCCTATGGGAACCTCATTTCTTAGGGAAACCCCATTCCCGATGGAAAACCCATTCCTGATGGAAAACCCATTTCCTATGGAAAAACTCATTCCTTATGGGAACCTCAATTCCTACGGAAAACCCATTCCTCATGGGAACCTCATTTCATAGGGAAAACTCATTCCCGATGGGAACCCTATTCCCTGTGGGAACCTCATTCCCTATGAGAACCTCATTCCTGATGGGAAACCCATTCCTTATGGAAAACCCATTCCTGATGGAAAACCCATTTCTTTTAGAAAACCCACTCCCGATGGAAAAACTCATTCCCAATGGGAACCTCATTTCCTATGGAAAACTCATTCCCGATGGAAAAACTCATTCCTGATGGAAAGCTCATTCCACTCATTCTGATGGAAAACCCCATTCCCGATGGAAAAACCCATTCTGATGGAAAAACCCATTCCCTGTGGAAAACTCATTCCCCTACAAAAATCTCATTCTCAATGGAAACCCCATTCCCAACAGGAACCTCATTCCCGATGGAAAACCCATTCCCTTTGGAAAACCAATTCCTGATGGAAACTTCATTCCATATGGGAACCTCATTTCCTATGGAAAAACCCATTCTCTATGGAAAACTCATTCCCTATGGGAACCTCATTTCTTAGGGAAAACCCATTCCCGATGGAAAACTCATTCCCGATGGAAAACCCATTTCCTATGGAAAAACTCATTCCTTATGGAAAACCCATTTCCTATAGAAAACCCATTCCCCATGGAAAAACTCATTTCCTATGGGAAACCCATTCCTTATGGAAAACTCATTCCCGATGGAAAAACCACTGCCTATGGAAAACCCTTCTCCTGTGGAAAACCCATTCCCTGTGGGAACCCCATTCCCTATGGGAACCTCATTCCCTATGGAAAAACCCATTTCCTATGGAAAACCCATTCCTTATGGGAACCTCATTCCCAATGGAAAACTCATTCTGAATGGAAAACCCACTGCCTATGGGAACCTCATTCCTTATGGGAACCTCATTCCCAATGGAAAAACCCCTTCCCTATGGAAAACTCATTCCCTATGGAAAACCCATTCCCAAAGGGAACTTCATTTCTTAGGGAAAACCCATTCCCTATGGAAATGTCATTCCTAAGGGAGTCTCGTTTCATAGGGAAAACCCATTCCTGATGGAAAACCCATTCCTGATGGAAAACCCATTCCCAACGGGAACTTCATTTCCTATGGAAAACCCATTCACTATTGGAACCCCATTCCCTATGGAAAACTCATTCCCTATGGAAAACCCATTCCCTATGGAAAACCCATTCCTAAGGTAGTCTCGTTTCATAGGGAAAACCCATTCCTGATGGAAAACCCATTCCCAACGGGAACCTCATTTCCTATGGAAAACCCATTCCCAAAGGGAACTTCATTTCTTAGGGAAAACCCATTCCCTATGGAAATGTCATTCCTAAGGGAGTCGCATTTCATAGGGAAAACTCATTCGTGATGGAAAACCCATTCCCAACAGGAACCTCATTTCCTATGGAAAACCCATTCCCTATGGGAACCTCATTCCCAATGGAAAAATTTATTCCCTATGGAAAACGCATTAGCAATGGAGAACCCATTCCCAATGGGATTTTCCAGATTTTTGCAGCTTTTCAGGTTTTTTTCCATATTTTTCCGAATTTCCCCAGATTTTTCTGAATTTTTCTGGATTTCCCCCATTTTTTTTATTTTGGTTTTTTTTTCCCGGATTCTTTTATGGATTTGCCTGGATTTTTTCCCAGATTTTTCCAGATTTTCCCGGATCTTTCCTGGATCTTTTTGTATTTTTTCTGTATTTTCCCAGATTTTTTTTCACCTGGATTTTCTACAAGATTTTCTCGTATTTTCCCAGCTTTTCCTGTATTTTCCCAGTTTTTCCCATAGTTTCCTGGATTTTCCCAGATTTTCCCAGATTTTCCCAGATTTTCCCATATTTTCCTGGATTTATTTTTTTATTTTCCCAGATTTTTCCCAGATTTTCCTAGATTTTTTTCCTGGATTTTTCCAGATTTCTCTGCATTTTTTCCAGATTTTTTTTCCTGGATGTTCCCGGATTTTCCCAGCCTTTTCTGGACTTTTCCAGATTTTCCACATTTTTTTTTTTTTTTATTTTCCAGGATTTTTTTTCCCAGATTCTCTGGATTTTCTCCATATTTTCCTGCATTTTTCCATATTTTTCCATATTTTCCCGTATTTTCCCAGACTTTTCCAGATTTTTCCAGATTTGCCAGACCTTTCCTGTATTTTTTTTGTATTTTTTCCGAATTTTTCTGTATTTTCCTGGATTTTTCCCCCCTGGATTTTTTCCCAGATTTCTCATTTTTTCCCATTTTTTCCCATTTTTTCCCGGATTTTTTTCCCGTTCTCACCCGCAGGATCCGGTTCATTTTTCCCAGGTGGATCATGAAATGGTCGGAGCAGGCGATGTCCGAGGGGGAGTGGCCGCCCCCCACCACCT